GACGCACGACGTTCTTATCGTGCTGCTGATAAAAATTCCAGCAAACTATCCCCATTTTTAAAGAAAAGGCCCAGTTCTGCAGCACACGAACATTTAAAAATCAATCTAATACTTGCTTCAACAGCAGCTTTGAGAGGAAAAAAACCCAACAAACCCCAAACTGCTGCACGGACGAGTTTGCCACGGCTGCTGTTCCCACAGAAACAGCCTCGTGGAGTACTGCAGAGCCATGTAATGACAGTGGAAACATTGAGCACAAGCTTTAAATCATCTCCCACAATCAAGACATGTTCCATCAGGAAAGTGGAGAAGGAGCTGGGAGATGAGAGGATCCCCCACACACTTACTGGGCCCTGGAGACCTCCATCCTCTCGGTCGATGCTGCTTCTGGAGAGCCGCACGTCGGGTTTCTGAAAGAGAGAGTCAAGATTTCACTCTGTGCTTTGCTGAACTGATTCTTGTGATCGAGGCTTCAACTTCTAAGGACAGGAAAACGCTGTTAAGAACCGACACTGACAAATACAGATGTTATTTCATTCCAGTCTACACACCCCCGGCTGCTGCAGCTGCAGCTACTGAAACTCCTGGCAGCCCCCTCGGCTGCTCCTCAACCACCCACCCTCAGTGCACGAGTGGAAATGCTGGTTAGAAATAGTGACAGTACCATTTCCCTAACACAACATTGGAAAACCTGCATTTTAACTCCCAAATGCAGCAAAAAGTGGGTTCCAAAAAGAAGTTACTCGCTTCCCAGCACCCGAATTTCAACCAGGGGATGAGAAACGCTGCGCATTAATTCCTGCTTCCTGCCTGAGGATGCCTTATATCCCTTGGCTCCCTCTCCAAGCTGAAAATGGGGCCAATAACTGGAGCTCTTTAAACACTGCATTTGGATACAGAAAGCTAATAAGACATCCAGATGCAGTGTTCTGATACAAGCAGCAGTGAATTTCTATTCGATGTGTTTAAGTGAGACACAAGAACCCGGGGCTTGGTTGCTTTCAGAAGTAAAACTAGCACCACATCATTTTCTTTCACACAGAAACTGGTCATTTTTCTCCTCTCCCCAGCAAATCCAGGTACGTTGCATTTGTTCTTTGAGGACAACATTAATTACATGGAAAGACAAAGGAAGAGTGGATGTGAAACAAAGGTTAGCGCTGATCTGAAGACACAAGGCTTCTAGCACACCAATTCTGGCACATAAACGCAGAGAGGAAATATCTGACTCTTCAATTCACTCTGAGACTGGATGAGGAGTTAATGAAAATGGATTAATTCCATACATACATCAGTGTAAATACAACTTCCTTCATATGTCTGTATGTATAGTACATAAATGGACACACACAGCTTGAGAATGAACATTTCTTATGCAGGGAAATGTCAGTGTGTGAATACTGACTGCGACTAAACTGACCCCAAGTTCATTCAGGATCAGTTTTGGGGGATAAATATATCTTATTTAAACCTGCTCTAGATCCCTCTCCTTTTTTTCTAGAAGCACTAAACACACAACCTGCTAAAGGAACCTGAAGAGCCAGCAGGGCAGATGGAACTTGCAAAGACACACTAATAGTGCTCTTCTGCCATTAAAACCACCCCGGTTGTGCTACAGTCTGTCAGAAGGGTTTATACTTTGGATTTTCATTCAGCCCTCCATCGATGGAGTGAGGCACAGCCAGAGACAGTCACTGCCTGAAGGAACCTGCAGCTTAGGAACAGACAAATCACACTAGACAGGGAAATATTTAACCCCATCGTAAACAGGAAGACCTGAAACAGACACAAGCAAGAGCTCTCCCAATGTCTCGCCATGAATTTGTGACAATTTCTATGATGAAACCCACCATTGATGACTCTCCAGTTTATTTCCTTTATGATGATGGATTTTTTCCTGATTAAAGACTCATCTGATGTAGGTTTGTTGTATACTTCATTAGGTATCTAAAGTCAGTCACGATTCTCATGTTTTTAAGCTAGAACAAATAGCTCTCCCTGTTCGTCTAAGCAGACAACTAACTCAATTTCTAGTACACTGATGTTCACAATTTGTCTCTGTTTCATGTTCACTTCTGGCCAGGGAAGTGCCCAAAGTCTTTGGACTACTTTATCACATGGGTCTTGAATCCTCTTTGCACTTCTAATAACTTATGACTCCAGAAATTCACCCTAAACCAGACTCCACAGATAATGAAATACTGAGCACTGTAAAGATTCAGAAGCACAAACCCCCACACTAGTCCAAACAACAGATTATTTTCTAGTATTGTAAGACAAAAGCTAAATTAACAGGCATAATATCCATCTCCTGCCCTCCCTGTCTTACTAACAAGGCCCTTCCTTTCAGCATCTGAACTCTAAATGCCCAATTCTACAACCTCACACCACAACTACTCAGGTCACCACCAGCACCAAACATGCAGCACAGGAGTGGACTTCAGGACATCACGTACAGTATAACAAGCACCCAGCTACAGCCTAAGCATTGTTCCACAGAAAGGTCATAAATACACATAAAATATGACTAAAATGAGCATTATTAACTTGACTCACGCTTGCTTCACACACTGCCAACAAACATAGAGTCCTGTTGACCACCCCCAGGCAAGCGAAGCCATGGACAGCGGTGGTGTTGTCCAGGCTCTCCCAGAACCTGATCTGAAAACGAAGACACCAAGTGGCAATGGGTAATGGCAAACCAGAGGGTCCACGAGCAGCCTGCACAGCTACACAACACACCTACATCTTAAAAATAGGATTTAAAATCTTTAGTGGTACAGGAACACACCACCTTCCACTCCTCCAAGTAACTTCCTCCTTCTGCACCATCAAAACTTGGATATTTAGGAACACAAGGGACAACAGAGAAATGCTCAACACACGTTTTTATCCAGTGACTAAGAGGACCCATTTTATTTCTAGTGACTTGAATGTGTGCTAATAAATTCTAACAACTCCCATTTTAGTAAATGATGTTCTGATTTGTGTAGCTGTGCAAATGTCAATAGACAACCAGTAAAACACTTCTGCAATGAAAGTGAGATTCATGATCAAACTCCCAGTGTATTTTAAAATCCTATGTAGCAGCTCTTCTTATGCTTCTAAGGTGGTTAAGAGCTTCAACTGTAGCCCCCCATTGCTGGCATGACATAGCAATGCAGTGCTGAACTTTTAACAGTGAGATCCTTCAGATGTGTATAATGCAACACTGTCTAGATCAAAACATAAAAGACTCTGTTCTGGCCTGTTCTGTACTTTACACACCATTTTAGAGCATTTTCCCAGAGCCATCTCTTCTCCAGGCTGAAGCTAAACAGTGACCAACCATTTCCAAATGTGTTTCACACTCACAGTACAGTGGGGTCTTCTCAAGCATAAACCCAGAGTGCTCTGCCCGTACACTGTGGAAGTGCCAACTGTACTGAACTAAAATCAAAGTTTAAACAAAGTGTTTTCTACTTCATAGAATCACAGAATGGTTCGGGTTGGAAAGGACCTTAAGATCATCCAGTTCCAACCCCCTGCCATGGGCAGGGACACCTCACACTAGACCATGTCACCCAAGGCTCTGTCCAACCGGGCCTGTTATATTCATTACAAATACATCCTAAGGGAGGAACTATATTTTGTTATGATGTTGCAGAAGCTCAAAATCCTTCAGAAGTAAATGGATTTTTCCCTAACAAATAGTCTATCTGAAATCTTTGGAACCATCTAGAGGACTTTTCAGACAGGAGGCTTATGTTGACAAACTCTGTTTCCAGTATTTCTAGTTACTCACTAATAAAAGAACATTTAAGTCTCAGCATTCCCAGGACACGCCAGATTATAATGTCTTGGTGGGATTTTCTCAGGCTAAAAACCAGAACCTTATTTTAGGAGCAGTTCACATCCATTCTATTTGAGTTGCAGTTCTCAGTGTCAGAATAGGGCAAAACCACAACTATGTGGGAATTTCAGTAAAAAACCCAAACCCAAACCCGATAAGGAAACTATGTGAGTTATTTCTTCTTAACCTATCACAGGAAAGGACTATAAATTTCTTAGGACAACATTGTTTGGTCTGCTGAGGAGTTACTATTTATATATCACATATATCTTTATTTTACATGATTAAAAATAATGCCACATAACAGCAATACAGCCACAAAGAAAAGTTCAGACTGGAAACTAAACAGAAATGAGGAAGCAGCTAATTAAACAGAAGAAAAGAGTTCTGCAATGTTCAGAGCTACTTAGTGACAGTGCCAAAAGTCACAGCACTTCTTCATTAGGGACTCTAGTGGTGGGACAAGGGGTAATGGCTTTAAACAGGGGAACTTTAGGTTAGATATAAGAAGAAGTTCTTCACAGTGAGGGTGGTGAGGCACTGGAATAGGTTGCCCAAGGAAGTTGTGAATGCTCCAACCCTGGAGGTGTTCAAGGCCAGGCTGGACAGAGCCTTGGGTGACATAGTTTAGTGTGTGGTGTCCCTGCTCATGGCAGGGGGGTTGGAACTAGATGATCTTAAGGTCCTTTCCAACCCTAACTATTCTATGATTCTATGATAAAAATCACTCACTGCACTAATAGGGCTGAACTTAAAAGGTCACCCTCAAAAGATGCAGAATGATGGTTTCTTCCCCACAACTTCTGCAAAGCAAACTAACTCACTGCTGGTTCAGGAGGCTCTCATGGCATCATCACCAACACTGGTTTCCTATCTGTGGTTACAGGCAATTCTCCTTTTGGGTCAAACTCCATATTAAAGAACACAAGTTACACTCTCTCCTGGAACCAATTAAAAAAATGAAGTATCAGGATAGTTTTTGGCAGTTCCAACCTTCTGTCCAAACCCACAAACAAAAGCATCCACACGGAAGCTTTTAAAATTATGGTTTGGGTTGGAAGGGACCTTAAACCTCCCCCAGCCCCACCCCCTGCCACAGGCAGGGACACCTTCCACTAGAGCAGGTTGTTCCAAGCCCCTGTGTCCAACCTGGCCTTGAACACTGCCAGGGATGGGGCAGCCACAGCTCCTCTGGGCACCCTGTGCCAGCGCCTCAGCACCCTCACAGGGAAGAACTTCTGCCTCAGAGCTCATCTCAGTCTCCCCTCTGGCAGGTTAAAGTCATTCCCCTCCTTGTTCTATCCCTGCGTGTCCTTGTAAAAAGCTTCTCGCCAGCTTTCCTGTCACCCCTTTTAGGCACTGGAAGCTGCTGTAAGGTCTCCCGGGAGCCTTCTCTTCTCCAGGCTGAACAACCCCAGCTCTCAGCCTGTCTCCTTTCAGTCGCAGCAAGCTGCAAGTGCCCCCAGTAGATGCCATTCGCGATCGTGGAGCACTGCTTTTGGTGATGCAGGTTGTTCATTCTGCTTCTATATGCTATTACGCACAAGTAAAATCTTGATTAGCCTTCATCAGTTTTATGTTTTTGGGGTGCAAACACCCCTATGATCAAAAACCAGCTCAGGAGAAAGTGCAGAATGAGACTTCATGGACTTCTTGCATTATTGCCTGTGTGACCGAGGTCCAAACATCTCAGGATATAAATGAGTGAAAACCTCAGCCCAGGAGACTGCAGTAAGACTCCTTACATAGAAAGCCAGTCAGACTTCCACTTGTTGGATGTGACATGTTTGTACTGGGACCATCTCAATCTTCCACCTGAATAAGCCTGAACAGAGACCACCTTCTACAGTTACCTGCATCAAGCCTTAAGCTCAGCAATGCTTTGTCTTTGCTTCAGCTTCCTCAAAAGTAATTCAGGTATTTCTGTCCTCCTTCCTGGAGATGCTGATATCCAAAGCACTTTTATCAAGGGACCATGAAAGCCCAAGGGTCCATTAAAGCTACCAGACTAGTGTGCAACATTCCCTGTGCTGGGGAGAAAGCACCCCCCCAGTTCTCTTCTCATCTCCTGATGGATTTATTTGGTACAATTTAAAATTAACACTTCTTTACTTTTCAGTTTTTACACAACAGATTTATTTTCATTCAGGAGTTTCCCATGAAGAGAAATCTGTTTGTTTTCTCTTCTTACAGCAGAATTTCAGCATTTTGGATTCTCTAAAGGCTGCAGCTTGCAAACCAAATCTCTCCTTTCAAGTATCGAGTCAATGTCTCAAAGGAGCAGATTCAGGCAAACTGCTTACACAGATAACAACCTCCCCAAAGACTCCCAAATTTCCATTTCAATGCCACTGCAGTTTCATTCTTCATCTGGGGTGTCTCTTCTAGCACACAGCACCAGTTGCTGTTTATACACGTACTAACAGGCTTTGAGTTGTATTTTTTCCCTGCAGAAGCAGCAATAAATTTCAAGTCACAAACAAGTTGGTGTTACTCTGGGGAAACAAAAACTGTACTAACAGAATCCCCACCGAGGGTTTCTCTTCTTGTTGCAGTGTCTGACATTACATGACTTGCAGTTGCTCCCCTGTGAGTCCAATTCTTAATGGCAGAAGTGAGATGTAGTGTAGGAGCACTGGGTAAATAGAGCTGCTTTTGCAAGTTGCCAGTTCCAAGTGAGAACGCTCCACTGAATGGTTACACAAGTTAGAAATTAAAGTCTGGCTCTACCCTCTCTATTGTTCTTTGTGCTCAAAAGGAAAAATATTCTGAAACCTGCCTGTAGCAGGTAAGGGAGAGCCAGACTTGAGCAAACCATTTAATCAAAACCTGAGGGTTAGTGCAGGAGGCTCTCTCAAAGCAAGTGAGAGTCACGACACCGATGCTGAGGAAGTTGCTTCTCTTCCCTACATCATCACCTCAGTGAAATTAGGGAAGGTCCTTCTCCCAAGAGATGTCACTAGTCACTCGTTAGAGGACAGGGGCTAAGGAGTGTGTGTGTGTAATACATGGATTATTTCTGTCCTGGACCTGTGTTTGCACTCTCAGGTATGAACTGTGGATATCCTTCAGGAGATGGCCTCCAAGGGTGACGCCCCACAATGACTTTCCCACCACCTTGATTTCTTCAGGGCTAAACCTAGAAAACCACATTCCTTCTCCAAGAAACATCCATCTATAAACCAAAGATTCCTCTGACATACATCCTGCTATGGGCTCAAACATACCCTGTGGCTATCATTAGCTTGCGTAGCTTTTGACACAGTATAATCTGTAACAGGCATCAAAGCATAAACCCTGAAGTCAAAATGTTGGCACAGAAAGAAGAAGAACTGAAGTCTCTTATGGATTACAATTCCTCATTTTGGTCATTTAAGTTCATGCTTATTTCCCCTCAAACTTGCCCTGTTTCTTGCCTTTCTAACCCTCCAAGGGTTTACCCCAACCAAATCCAGCTCTGGCACATCTATACAGCTGCTCACGAATTCACCAATGCTACTTCTCCTTTGAGCAGGGGTGACAATAGAGATGGTGTCTCCTCACAATAAAAGCTAAGACATAATGAAAACACAGTAATTCTTTCCCAAACATATGCTAAGACTGTATGACAGATCAAAGGGAAAATTATGAAGTCCTTCCTCCAAGAGCTATCTGGGGGATGGTAAACCTCCAAATGTCCAGAGACTGACCCAAACCAGAATAACAAACACCCCAAACAATCACCATCTATTCTGCACAAGAAAGCCAGAAGGTCAGAAAGTTTTCTGCAGCAAGTTCCCACACAATCTCCTGCCACCTGCAATCACAACGCCTTGTTCTCAGCAAGAGATTCATTCCTCAAAAAGCTCTTGACCATCCTCTCTGACAACGGCATCAATTTGACTTTCTGGGCTTGTGAAAATCTCAAGCAACTGGTGCCACTCAAGATGCAAAAGTTAATGCCTAAATTTGGGAAGAAATTCTCTTCTCCTCTCCTCCTTGTCATAAATTGGACAAAGCAATCTGGGTACAGTGGTTTCTTTAGTAGCATCCAATGGTAAACCACAAATTCCCAAGTGCACTCACAAGGAAACCAGCCAAAAACAAGCTTCAATGTCCTTTAATTAAAAGTAACATCTTAACTCCACCATCCGGATCTTGGCTTGAACATGTACTGGACATGGGAGCATCTATCAGTACCCCTCAAGAGCAAGCAGAGCATTATCCCACCTTGTTGGTCTTCACAGCCCTCAGCTGTTCTGAGCAGTTCTGAATACCACACATAACTAAACCCCTGAGAGACTAAGACAATTCAATTGGCAAGGAATAAGGTTTTGGTAACAGCATCTACATAGAAGATCTGCTCCCCCTTCCCACCCACTGGCTTCCTGCAGAATAAAGCATGAATTCTTATTTTCAAGGAAATCAATGTCCTGGCTTCCAGATCCCTTAAAAACTGTTTTGAGTTCTGTGAGACAATTCAGGACCAGCAGCTTTGGTGTCTAAAATAAAAGTAATTCATCTGTACAACTAAGATTTTTCCAGAGAGCAGCTTTAGGTGGTGCAGAGAACTCTTACAGAAGCCCTACATCATTATCAACATCTGGCCTAGCGGAAGGTGTCCCTGCCCATGGCAGCAGGGTTGGAGCTGGATGAGCTTTAAGGTCCTTTCCAACCCAAACCATTCCATGATCTGCTTTAAACACAGAGCATATTTATGCTTCCAAACCGAAGGATTCCTTGAAATACCTAAAATTCCTTGAAAGCTTAAGACCAAATATGTGCCTGATGTTTGTCACAGCCCATAGCACACCACTGGGTATTACCCACCTGTCAGGTAAGGCTCCCCAGCATAGAATCATAGAATAGTTAGGGTTGGAAAGGATCATCTAGTTCCAACCCCTCTGCCATGGGCAGGACATGAGCCTAGACAGAGCAATATGCTACCACCATCTTCTGCATCTGTAGCCATCAGTCTCAAGTAGGGGAATTTTAACACAGAACCTGAATTTTGACAACCGAGAAGCCAGAGTTGAACTAAAAACCATACACCAGTGGCACTGGCAACAAGAAACCATGATCTGCAGAGAAACAGCAATGGAAGATCTCATGACCAACACATTCCTCCTTCCTTCTCTTGGTGATGTTCAGGCCTTTCCCCCCCACCTCACAGAGCTCTCTCAATGTGTTTCTTCCCACTAACGTGTCATTATTCCACCAGTGCAAGACTGCTTACACAACTCTTACTACAGTCAGGGTTCTCAGATGGCTGATAGTTGTCCCTGTTTTAGGGGTGGAGTATGCACAGACCTATCCCCCTAAGAACAAAGAGGCAATCTCCAGATTGGCACAGGATTGTACCCACAAGTTCCCACACATAAATTCTCAATTGGGTAACATGAGATTCATTAAACCCCTCAGATGTTCAAGGTATTTGAAACACAGGCCCCACTGCTGAACAGCTGGTGTAAAAACTGTTTCCAAACCTACACTTTGGTAGGGACCCCTGTGTTCTCAGCACATGTTCTTATTTCACAGAAGTGACCAGCTTCAGCAAGCTGCAATAAAACAAGAAACATTGGAGTGAATTAGGAAGCACTATGGAATGAAGCATTACCAGGAAGCGTTCCTCTTTTTCAAGCCAGCGCTGATCTTCTTCCATCTCTTGTTGTTGTCGTATCAATCTCTCCTCCATAAGATGTGTGGGGAGAACCTGGCTCATTCCTCGTATGTCCAAAGTGCCCGAATCCTACAAACCAGAGTGAGTTTGTTCAGTCTCACAACTCAGAATTTCTATAAACAGCTACAAGAACTTAGAGCTTATAAAAGAACCAATTTTAAAAGCCCAGATGCACGACAGCAGTCGAGCAGAGCTCCTTCAACTCCTTATAAACTGAAGCAGACCATCAGGAGAAACCCTTTCCCACTAGAAACACTTTATCTTGCTCCTCATCACTGGAAAAGAAAAGCTTTGGAGAATTCTGTTCTGTTTTTCAGTAATGTTGTCACTTCATAGGTTGCACTTCGTTCAAGCTGGACAACAAAACCAGACCTACCAGTTCTGTTTTCTTGGACGTGAGCACTAATGTTGTTAACAACAATCCAGTTGTTAAAAGCTGCAAGATACACTTTTTACTCAGAACAAATAAGCTTTTCAGTTTCATCTGACACTTGCAAAGCACATCACAAAACCCATTCGATTAATGGATTTTTGAGCATGGTTTTATCCATGTCTTAAGGTTACAACACTCCATGTACCTACCATACCCCCCCGCTGTCTGGAAATCATCATCAGCAGTGTATCCATTAGTACTTTTAAAAGCCAAGGGGAATTTGGCAACAAACTTCACCGAGATTAGTTTTAGGCAACCAACTTCCCAAGCTTTTGTGAAAACTTTGGCTGTGACTTATTACTACAGACACAGGCAAAGAATTTATGTTTCCACCAACACTTCATTCAAGCATGGTCAGACTGTTGTTTCCTGCCTCAAGAACATACAGGGATGTTGAACTACACCCCTCAGCTAAATACAGTGTGAACAACAGCAGCATTGGCAGCAAGTTGCAGTGGCCAAATCAACCAAGGGTAAGCCAAGTCAAAGACTCAGACACCTACATTTAACGGGTAAGCCTCAGTTATCACTTCAAGGTTTCTCAGAGGCACAGGGACTAAAGCACTGGTTAGAGAGGAAACATTTAAGACAGAAGCTGCACAAAGTGAATCTTTGTGGGAGGATAAAATGGAAAGAGAAAGTATAAAATACTGGAGGAGAACAGAAAAAAAATGATGGGAGGTTAAAGGGGGAATTCATTTGATGTTCTTTACAGCAGCTCTGTGCAATCCTGACAGGCTGAAAAGCATCTAACAGGACCCAACTCCAGAACAGTTTTGCAGACCATTTCATTTTCTGTTCTGGAAAGAGATACAGAGAAGCCTCCCATCCTTTAGCTCTGCTGGGTATCTCCCACGAGAGGTATTTTTAGACAGTAATGATATTGCATATTTTTACATGACTGTTCCCATCTCTATTAACAGCAGCAAGTTCCAGTAAAGCCTTATTTTAACAAACACAAAATACTTGCTATCACGCACTCCGTTAAGATATAAGTAGTAATATCTTCATCAAGATGTTGTGTAAAGAGCACACTTATAAAAAGGCATATTTACTGCACAGAGTGCAACAAGAGATGTGTCACTGCACCATACCTCCATGTTTGGTTGCCACACTGATATTTCCTGAGGCCGATGGTTCCAGGAATCTGTCTGATCCAAGAGAGAAGCCTGCCCTGGATAGATGCTGCCTGCCATGGCTGGTATTCCATGAGAACCAGGGTAGCCAGACACCTTTGGAGGGGGGTGAAAAACCCAAAGATAAAGTTATATTAATAAGACCTATCCTTTCCCATGGTCAATAGCTTCCACCCTCCAAGGGAGCAAATATAAGAGCACAGAAATGACTCAGTTCAAGCAGTCACTGAGAGGGAGGAAGGGAACCAACATGAGAAGAAGGAAGCAGAGCCAAAACATGAGACAAAACCCTTTTTGTCTTTGAGGATGCCTGTCATAACAACTGTTTGAGGATAACTGTAAGTATGTATATATATATACACAACTATAACTTCTGAGGATAATTAGAACTATTTGAGGACACCTATCAAAACAGCAGCATTAGCGAGTGCGCTTTAACCTCTGCTGTCAAGACCAAAGTCCTCTGATGCCCAAAGATCAAGCCATTGATGTATTTCTAAGAGCTACACATGCAGAGATCATATTCAAGTTAACAGGAGCCTGCAAACATCGCCCTACAGAGCCATATGAAAACATACCCCCCACTGCATGGTACAAGCTTAAGCCTCGAGTGACAGCACATAATTAGTGTGCTCATCTGTGTGGCCTGAGAACTTCTCCACAGGAAAATCAAAGTAGATTTCATAGTCTGAAGTACTCATTAAAACAATGAAAACCTCCCCTCTCCATGGAACGAGAGAAGTCTCAACTGAGACTGCTGTCTATGGCTGTAGCTTTGAACAAACCCGAGAATGCTGAAAGTACTTTCATGACAACCTTTTGTTTTAAATTTCTTCAGCAGGGTTAGGAAGAAAAGCAAAACCTTTGAGTATGTGATGTGGTAGATCTAAAAGCAGCTCTCAGCCAACAGAAATGGTTCAGAGAAACAGCAGGGAGCAGAGTATCAATAAGCCAAAGAAAAGTCCACCAGTTAAAGCCAGTTTGTAGCTCAGCACAAATGTTAACACGAACACCACATTCCTTCGATAAATATGGAAATGTCTGATGTGTCTCACTGCAGTCCCAGGAATTTGAGCACTATATCTGAGATGAAAATACTTCCCATCTGGAATAAACCTGCCAGGCGCAGTTTGGGATTTGTTCTGATGTAAAACAAAACCCATTTAACGCAACTGAATGACTATAAACCGTGCAAGGAGCGAATCAATCCCACCAACTGTGAGTTATAAACCCCACACTGGAAAAAAATACATACACGGTGTTATAAATATAATACCTGGTAATGATTTGGCTGTACCATATGCTGGGGACTTGGATAAAACCCTTCACTGGATCTCGGACTGGGGTAACCAGGCCTACTGGGCTGTAAACGCAAAGGAATTGTTAGAGTCTTTAGAAACAGAGAACTAAAGCCAGAAAATTACTTTTTGTTGAGATGAATATTTACAGGTGATGCATCACAACAGCAAGCTCAAAAGAAACCCTCAAATAAATACCCCAAAAAGACTAATATTTCTTTTAAACAACTAAAATCCAGTTTTCCTCCATTTTTGCTTGGAAATGGATGAATTGTTTGCAGGTATGTCAACAAGCAACGCTTGCTCTGTCAGTTCTTTGTGTATATGTAACTGCTTGCACTAAACGACCTGCTCTGTGCCGTTTAACTCTAGAGAGAGCACTGGCTAAGAACATAATTCTTCAGTCAAGTTTCCAGGTGCAAATAGAGCACTGTTTCTAAGTTCACAATCTGCAGCACGTAAAGGTTTGCCATTAATTTATTGCTTTTGTGCCTGTTCCCAAAAGTAAATTCTTTTACTTTAGACCGAACACAAATGAAACTGGTTTAGCAGTTTGTGTAGCATGAATATTTCCATGTGTTAGTCTGAGGATTAAAGTTAGTTCTGAGCATTAACTTCTGTGTAACTAATTGCCTTGACATGGAAGGTGCTTTTGATCAGACTCTGAACTCCATGGTCACTTCAGTATCCATGTTTTGGTTCTGCAACCCATTCCCAGCCAAGAAAAACCAGGTCAGGACTAGCTCCTATTAGAAAGGACAGCTAAAGAACAGCTATCGCGAGTCTTCATCTGTCTTGCTTTACTCCTTCAGGAGAAAAAAGGTCACTTTACACATAATCAAACAAGATGTATAATCACAGGAATACAGGAGGAAAGTCACCAGGAATTTGGACAGCACTATAACAAAACACTACATGAACAGGAGCCTGGTTTTCTGTGCATGTTGAACAGATCATCCTTTTGCTGGGACAGGAATAAGAATTTCACACTACTGAAAGAAGTAATGTTGGAAAAAGTTGCTCAGAACAACTTATATCTGCCAAGCAGAGCTGCTCTGTTATGTTTGATATTAACCTCCAAAGGTGTGTGTGCAGATATATAGATATATATGTGCATTTTTTCCTGAGGAACAGCGCTGCTGGGTGTTATAGGAGGAGAAAAATCAACCAAAGAGGAAAAACAACCTCCAAACCACATCATTCTGCAAATGGGCTCCTTCTGGTGACCAACACATTGCTCTGAGATTGCAGGATTTTATCATCACTTCATGAAAAATGTCATCATTCTGTACTAGGCTATTTTCTGTCTTAGGTTTCTAGTAGAAATCACTGTGAATACAGGCAATTTCATAGCACAAATCGTGGTATCTGTGCATTATTTGAGAATGTGTAGGAGTGTAAGGCTATAAATAAACTGGAATTTAAGACCTATAAAGACCTGAAACTTTTATAATGAACTGTTGTTATTAAAAAAATCAGTCGTTGCCCTCAAAAAATTAGATAATAACCTAAGAGATACTTAAAATCTTGTATCTATGAAATCCAGTTTGTTCAAATGTCATTAGTATGCACATCCAGGTTGGACACAGGGGCTTGGAGCAACCTGCTCTAGTGGAAGGTGTCCCTGCCCATGGCAGGGGGTTGGAACTGGAGGAGCTTTAAGGTCCCTTCCAGCCCGAAACATTCTATGATGCCTATTTTACACAAAAATACTGTGTAAGACATTAACCAACAACTGCACTGCATAGCCAGTGAGGACATATTGACCCCCCCCAAGAAGATATGCAGTGGTAGAACTAATTTCAATCTTCATACACTGTCAAATGTTTCAGTTTATACATCACACCTAAAGCTCTAATGATGATCATTTCTAACATGGTGTAACTCATATATTACATTAGTAAAAAGTACTTATTCTGTCTGGATTAGCCCCAAAGCTTCAAGAGAAAATACATTCTTCAAATAAGATTGTAATAATTAAGTGACATATTATTTCAGTTTATGCAGTTTATCTGCTTCTGTAACTGGGAACATTATCCATTTATATATACACCAAATCCTGCTGGTTTATCTCAGATGAATAAAGAGGCTGATGGATTGTTTGCTGCTGTTAACTCTGAAATGAAAGCAACAATTCCACTGCCCATATTTCTTGCTTGCCATAAAGCTATCAAAATACAGAAACAAGCTCGGAAATCCATCAGGCAAGAACTTGGGGGTGGGGAAACAAGACAAAAGAAGTTGCCTTCCTTGATGGCTGGGGATGAGTGCAGCAGCAGACGCCGCACGAGTACTACCGAAACCATTACTGGTGACCAAGAGGCAGGTAATATTCCCTATTACAGTAGTGACTGCATAAAATGAAATGCTTCAAAATACAGGCTTGATCCTTCAAAGTGCTAAATAACTGAGATGAGAAGCAGACAAGCTCCTGAGAGAGGAGAGTGCTCAGCAACTGGTGAGGTTAGACTACCACAGCTGCGGAACACATCAGCCATGCAGAGCACAAACAGGACAGACATGTAATGAAGCAAAATTAAGTGGAAACTAAACCACAGAAGGTCCTTGGAAGCAACCCCCTAATTTTCTGTCCAGAAGAAGGAAAATGAAGTTAGTTCATTTCTATCCTCTCACTGGTGTGTTATAAATAAGCTTCACGCTGGTCTGCGAACTCACTGCTAACGGTTCACGAGTGCTACAAGAATGAAGAAAGGAAGAAAAAAGCCAGGAAACAAGTTTGGGGCAACTGTGGGAATTTTGTGCAAGTTAAACTACGAGAAACAGAAACTACATGATAATACAATATTATCACATAACACGATATTATAACATGGATCAGTTCTAGTAACAGTTCCAAGTCGAGCTGGGTCATTTCAGGCAAGTATGAGCAGATGATGACAAAATTTGCCATTGTCTGAATGAACCCGTCAAAGGCAGCTTTGAAGGAACACACAACACACATAATTTGCAGTCTTAGCTACCTTGGGAGGAGCTTCATCTGATCCTCCTGAGTCCCAGGATACTGTGACTTGTCGCCTGGATTCCATTCTCATTCGTTCTTCTTGCTGCAGCTTCTCTTCCTCCAGTATTGTACTAAGAAAAACGTATTATATTTAAGTAAAACTCCAGTTCCATGGCTAAGAAACCTCTCCCCAGAGCTCTCACACTTTTCAGACTGATGAACATTATCCAACAAAGCGATTGAGCACTGAAACACAAACTTCTTTACTTAACTGTAGGTTTTTGAAAAGCAGTATCACGAAGAAATACTTGTGCAGGATTAGCAATGTGCTTTCAACAACAGAAGCAGCACCGAGGTTTTAGAAAGCTGTGGTTGATCTTGCACAGAATTCTTCTTGCATGTGAACAGTTCTTTTGATGTGTAATTACAGCGAGAAACCCTCAAAGACAGTAAATCGAGCGCTTACTTGCATGAAAAGTTGTTTTACACAGAAAAATGTCCTACTGAATTGCTTCAAAGGTTCAAACCTGAAAATGGTCTTTACTGAAACTCAACAGAGCTTCAGAGCACTGGGATTTTTGTTCTTTTTTAAGCAGAGCAGTCAAAACACCCCCGTTTTAAATACGATGTCCTCAGCTCTCACATTTTAGCCTAACCAGGAACACATTCAGCACACTCGTTTAGCAAAGCAGAAATATCTGACAGTATTCATCCAGCTTCTAAACATTCAGGTCAAAAGGCTGCATTTTCAACAAAGTACAAGACAGTAGTAAAACCAGTTTGCTACTTACCACTGTTCTGACTATTAAAAAGACTGTTTGAAGTTCAACGTGATACGGCTGCCCCCACAGCCAGCCTCCTCCCAGCTCTGCTATGTGGATTATTAATGTTGGATATTTGCCATTTGAAAACTACTCAGAATGAAGCTTTGAAAAGAGGGAGCTGCAAATCCGTTGGAGCTGCACGCTCCAGGGAGAGCCTGGAGATGTGAGCAGGGAGGCTTATTTACACATCGCTATCCCCACTGTAACGATAATCCCATGAAGGAGCTATTCCAGCTTCTTTATCACTCCAGAGTTTCCAGAAACAGAGCTAGGTTCTGAGTTTATAATCTCCTGCTCAGGCTGCTAAATAACCACCCAGAATTACTCATGCAGGGGGATGAGATCAACGACAGCAATCTATTCTAATCTTGGAACTTTACTGCTTATTTCAATAAATTCCTGCTTGGCTGGAGACAGGAACTTTGCTTTCCCTTACTCAGCCAAAACACCAAAATATCTATGCCACTTCTAAAAAGCAGAGAAGTCATCTCGTCGCACTGCAGCGAAAGCAAGTTTGTAAGTATTGCTGCAATTTCAATCCATCATTGCTAAAGAAACACAAGAATGTGAAACAAAAACAAAATCAGACAAGCTATTTGCAAAAGTCATCTTGATATAACTACCAAGGGAACGAAGCTACAGCCCAAGGGAGGGAACTAGAAGAGAAGATCTTTCTATTTTACCTCTTTCTTCCCCCAGAATAAGGAAAATGCAGTATTTCCTACTTGAACCCATGAAGAACTAGCAAAACCCCAGTGCTTTAAAGCTAGCTCACACTTCAGCTGTGCAGCATGCATTGTTATGTAGCACGAGAAATCAGCCAACGCGCATCCACAGCCACGAACCATGATTATGATCTTTCAAGAAATACCACAAGATTTAAAGAAACCCACAACAAAACAACACAAAAAACTCCTTCCAGCCACTGCACGAATAAGATCCAGATTTCTAACAAAGCTGTTGATGCAGCAGTTGCTCTCCTCTGAGCAAAAAAGTGGAGCAGGATTCAGCTAGAAGCAGCCGACTGTATTTAGAGATGGCTTATGGACAATTTGGGGTCTAACTTGCCACAGCCCAGCCCTGGTTTTCCAGGAAAGAAAGAAATCCTAATATGCATCTGTCTTGCTACTGAAGCTGGTTTACCCTTGGTGTCAAGGTATTCAGTACCATCTCATTAACTTACACCACATCACTGGAAATGACAAATTTCCACTGAACAGACTTCTCTTTCATGCCACAGGCTCAGCTTTTTGCCTTACAACTGTAACTCATCCCACCCTGCCCGTGGCACCAGGAGGTCCTTTCCCCAATAAGGAGCCTGGTCAAAGGCTGATGAGCTGCAGCCAAATTTGTACTTGGATGCCCTTGAGTACTGCTGACAAGGATATAAAATAGAAATGCCTCAGAGAAGCATTGCTTGAAAAAACACAAAGAATACAAATGACTCACAGAAACGTCTTTGTTTTTCCAAAGGGAAGACCAATCCATAGAGGCAGGAAAAACGTGCCAAGAGATATTTCTGACCTTTCCTCAGTGCAGCTGCTCCAAGAACTCTGAACAGTTTATTAGAATTTGCAGAAGGTCAGGGAAGTCAGATTTAGGCATATTTTCCCAAACTGAACATATTTTTAGCAGCAAAGAGGAGCAAGCAGAGATTCTATTCATACAACGTCTCTAGTAAATCCTGAGGCAGAACGAACTAAACTCATCTTCTTGGCTAGGTTAAGTCTGATGAAAAATCTCAGCTATTAGTAGTTTGTGTAATTGATAAACTTATTTAATTTACAAAGAATCTTTCTACTGAAATTGTCATTGAGAAGGAAACATGAATTTGGAGCTTCAGGAACAGCTGGAATACTAAAATGCATCCTTACATGTCAAAAGGCACAGCAAGACCAGTGTTTGCTGCTGGGGTGGTGCAGGAACCCACAGGAAGCACTGACCCTGAACAAGCAGCTCATTCTCTTCTCTCTGTGGTCTCCAGCCATCAGAAACGCGCGGCTGGATGCAGAGGAACATATTTTTGAGGACTGCTCCAATTGAAAAGCACTTTCATATGGATCAGGGATTATTCCTAATGGTCACAGTCAAAGAGCAAAAGGGCAATGAAGCATTTTGCAGCATCCAACATGTAGTTCAAGTACCTGTTATAGTATCTTTTTGACAGGATGCCGTGAAAGGAGAGGACTCAAACTGCCCTCACTCTAATCACTTTTGTTTCTTTTATTTGTAAGAACGTTTCAGGACTTAGATCAAATGCAGTCACACAAAGTCCAGTTCTTCTCAGTTAATTATCTCACTGTTGTCATGAAAACAGACTTTAAAAATATGAATTGGTCTTTTTTCCCCCTTTCTCATTCTTTTTAGAGCTGCATTTAATGTGACCTGCAGCACTGGGATGCTCTTGTTCAAACCTGTGCTGCTTCATCAGTGGCCAAGAGACAGCCAGAGCGACAGTCTCAGCACAGCAATGACACAACTGCTGCTTAATTTGCTGTTTTTAGGGAGAAGGGTTAGTGATAGGTACCTTGAACAAACTTCACCCAGTGATGCTGTGAAATGTCAAGCAATTACATTAATTTGAAAGCTCAACTACAAATCCAACTTAATCTCCAATGCAAAAAACCCCCTAGTTTTAACAGAATTACCAACCAAAGGGACATTCAGGGCACCACAAAACAAGCACAAACTGGGAACTGACTTGTAAGGAAGTCTGTGAGTACTCTGGTGCTGCCTTAGCACACTTGCAGCATACAGAATGTAGCAAAGCATATATTACATTTAATAATACATGGATATATGGAAAGCGTATGGTTATAGTATGATTATAGTATAGTAAGTGTATGGTCACAGTTAAGTGCCTAGGAGTTATTCTGAAGGAGAATGCTGTAAAAGTGTTGTTGCATGACTTGGGTACACTCAACACTTTGCAAAGGGCCTTTTATTATCATTTACCATGTAGTGCAAGACTATAATTTCTTCTACAGAAAATCAAGTCAACACATGCCTCCTGCTTAAAATACCCCAGATTCTAACTCTGGCCCAGCCAGTGACAGAATCACAGGAGCAGCAGTGTAGCACCTCACTTCATCTTCCTTTTACCCCCTGCCCCGAAAAAGAACAGGAGTCCTAGGACGAGAGGAGGAATCAAGTTTGGAAATCCACAATCCACCCATCTGTTTCTGTGTTTGCTGTCAAGATTCACCCCTTTCCCCTTTGGACAGATCAAATGCTATAAGGTATCAGGGCTTACTACTACCCTGATAACACTATATAAATGTTACAGAAATCAGCATCTTTGCATTGCACAATCAGCTGCAAAGGAAGTTTGTGCAAAGCAGAAGTTACTATGGAATGGGAAAAGCAACAAATAACAAACAGAGAGCACATGAAACGCTTACGCTCGCATCAGTGCTATTGCAGATGCAGAAAGGAAGTTTTTTCCCAAAGCCATGGACTTTTCCTCATTAGAACAGAGGTGCTGTATCACTGGCTTCAAGCAAACAACTAGTCTGCTCTCAGCTTGAAAAGACTGCCCTGGATAGGATCCAGAATGAGCAGCAACAACAACATCACCCAGACTAGGCCACCAGGGACATGACTTGTTTTTGCAAGTTCATGGGAATTGGAGTTTTGAAACACAATCTTTCCTAGCAGCCTGAGATTGCCTCATCTAAGGGAATTGGCAACCTTTCCAACCAGAGGCTGACTGTCTGTAAGCAGAGCTAAGAAGCCCTAAGGACAACCCTGCTTCCAGGATAGAAATGTCACCAGTTTGGAGTGGCAGAAAACTCTCTGCTTTGGTGAGAAGAGAGTAAAAACTGGATTTTAGGGTTGCTGTGGCGCCAGGAGAGAGGCTGTCCCCCAAAAAATGCTTCAAGTCTCCTAGCATGGCTAGAGGAGCAAAACCCCCATTGCCCTGGTACATTTTTCATCTGGAATCAGAGCACAGTTTAGGTTGGAAGGGATTCCTGGAGGTCTCCAGTCCAATCTCCTGGTCCGGTTACTCAGAGCCTTTTCCAGTCCAGAGCTGAAAGCCTGCCAAGCATGGAAATTCCAGAGGCTTTCTGGGTGACCTGTCTCAGAGCTTACCCACACACACTGGGAAACATCTGGGTTTGTAACCAGAGACAGTTTGCCTTGCTGTATGTCCTGAGTGCTGGTTCTCCCCCTTGGGCTGTGTGTTTCTGAGGAGAGCCAGGCTCTTGGGCACTGATCTATCCAGTTTATCTGGTGATACCTTTCCAACAAAATTCACCTTTTTCTTCCCTTTCCCCCTCTAAGTGTTGCTGCCTTTGCTCTAAGAACAGCCTACATTTATTTCACCCCCCAACCCAGTTACTTTTACTCCGGATTTACTCATCCTCTTCCCTTGCTGGTGAGATGCTCTCCCTGCCTGGGTTTACACACCGTGGCCATCTTCCTAATCACATTTTAAGGGCTTCATTCTCCTCCATGCCACCCAGCTGTAAATTACCAGTACAATCTGACTGCAAATAAAGACTCCTGTTCTTCCAGAGCCAAAAAACCCCCAAGTGAATTGCCAATTTCCACCTACGACCCAAATCACACAACTGTGTCACATCTTTACCTTGCAATCCCTACCCAGCCCTGCCATTCCTTCCTTTGTGGTTAACTCCACACACTCAACAGGATGGTAAGTTATTTGTGAGAAGAGCTACATCTTCCTCTAGCCATGTAATTTATTAGGAGCTCTCAAAGTAACAGATGGTGGAACCACATGAAACTTTAAGAAATAGGAAACAAATGAAAGGTAGCCAAGTTATCCATACAGCAATTCTGTATTAAAAGTGTCCCTTATTTTAACCACCTATGGACTATCTTGTACCATGAACATCCACTGACAGCCCAAAGTGATGTTACAAAAATAAACCATGACACAAAGCACAACTTTGAAACAAGACCTAAGATAGACCTGAAGAATTCGGCAATGAATTGCAACAAATCCAAGTATTACCGTATACAACACCTACATATTGTTTGAAGCTTATACTGACTTAGGCAAAATAGACACTGAGCACTCATAAAATACCCCAAATGGTCACAAGTCCCAAATGTGTCTGCACAATCTCTCAGTAGCATTTCAAAGTTCAACCACCACTCCCACTCTGTGCCTGCTGAAATGGAGATATAGAGACTGGAATAAATTACTGCAGAATAAATGAGGGTGTGAATTTAGACTGGTCTCAAATGTGTGTGCTCACAGTTATTCCAAGACAAACATAGGTAGTCTATATCCTGGTTTACTAAGGACAAAAGAATTCCTAGTTAATGATGCTGCGTTTATTGCAGGCTCCGCAATTGCGGAGAGACAGTTGCCACAGGGCAACTCATGTGTTTGGTATGTTATTAAAGTCACTTCCAACTGCACTCACTTGATGGTTCATTTATCTAAGAAAGAATATGTTTCCACCCCAAAATTGTCCCCTGCATGTTTGACGAGGTAGGGAACGACTCTGTCTCCTTTCTACCCTCTTCCCCAAGGACTGAAGCACACGTAGCTAACATTATAAGCAAACTGCTAGAAGAATCTGGAGTTTTCCTTGGGATAGAAGGGTGATTCCTATAGCCAGCGATATGAATTGATTGCCTAACCTAATTTTCTCCAGCAGATAAGGTCTACATTTCCAAAAGAGTAGCAACACCCTGGCCTTCTGAAGATAAAACATATTATGTCTTGCATTTCCCATAGGAAGAAAATAACAGAAGATACAGAGAAAAAAAGAAATATTTCTGAACAAGGAAAGGACCTTTCAGAAGTATAACCCTACCTGAGTTGTGCTTTAAGTTCAGTAAACCTGGGTCGTCTACTAGGGTCGTATGCCCAGCACTTGGTCATAAGGCTGTAGAGGGTAGGAGGGCAGTTTGGAGGCATTGGGAGCCGCTCACCGTTCTCAATTCGCCCAATCACATCATTGTTCTTCACTCCCTGGAAGGGCTTTACCCCATGCATTAGGATCTCCCACATACACACACCTGAGAAACACAACACAAAACATTTCCCCCAGTGTGAGCAAACAACAAAACCTGTTAAAAAAGACACAAACCCCAGTTTTGCACAGCCTGACAACGGGATTTCTTCCGAAACATGGAAGTGGGGAATCAGTTTTGACTTACCGGCTGGCGGCAGAGGAGCAATGTGCAGTGGGATTACACCCGCAGCATCAACCTCAACTATTTATGAGGAAGCATGACCCACAGCTGGCTCACAGCAGCCTGGCTTCACATTTAACTACCTTTTACCTATTGTAAATCAGAAGGGTTGCTCATATTCAAATCTACTTTTTTTATGAGGTAGTATGAGCTGTGTTTGCTTTTCCCTTCGACTGCTTCCAACCGGCTTGTTTCGACACGTAGAGCCTGTTTTCACTTTGAGGGTGTTTTAACACTGGCATTGATCCCATTTTTTTTTGGTGCTGAAACTATGTAGTAGAACAGTTTCTGTTGAAACTATGCTAAAAGCACAGAGGGAAAAACGCTCTGTTAGCTTAGGATTGGCCAGAATGTTCCCCAGGCTTCATTTTTCTAACTCTGACTGTACTACAGTTTTCTCAACCTACAGTAAACCTGAAAAGTTCACTTACCCTTCACTGAATTCGAATTTTACTTAGTAAGAGGGTGAACTCTTACTTGACTGTCCTGCTCTTACTTTGAGTCTCATCATCTTTGTTCCTTTACACAGCCTATCTCTGTTCTGTCTGTCCAGACCATCGGTCTTCACCAGTTTGAGCACAGGTGATCAGGCTCATTGAAAAACTTGCATATTTAGGAAAAAAGATCAAAGCTTCAGGATATTCCCATTTATCCTTATTTTTACTCAGCTTCTGGTCTTATTTTATAAGGTAGTAGGAGCTATGCAGGCCAAATTAAGTAGGAATCTAGCATTAAAGATCTGGAAACAGGTTATCACATAGGCTGATCTATGCATTAAGCAAGGAGAAGGCATATCACCATAAAAAGTGAAAACATAAAATAGAAACAGCACAGAACAACGGTGTAACATAAAGAAACCAGAGGAAAAAACAACACTAAGAAACTCATGTCCATTATGACTATGATCTAATTTCCTTGTACCTTCATTTCTGTCAGCTTCTGATGGGAGGCAAAAAGGCACATGAAACTTTAGACTTACTGAGCAGAAAAAGGAAAGAAAAACACAGAGATGGAAAATGTGCTGGAAGAAACTGGATTTTCAGAACATATGGTAAAACCAGTGCCAAATATCTGGAAATGATTCATTTACAGTAGTTAAAATGAAAGACCAAACTTCACAGGACACTTAAGCAGCCCCACCAGTGTTCACTTACCAAACATCCACACATCGCTAGCTGAGGTAAACCGTCGGAAGTTGATTGACTCTGGAGCCATCCATTTGATAGGCAATTTTCCTTTGGAAGCTGCAGGGAAGGCAAGACAAGGCAGGCTGTTATTCCTACCAGCTTCTGTTCCCAGTGCAGTAACTCACAGGCAAACCCCATCTCCAATGAAGCACTTCAGCTACCTAATTTTGGACAAGAGATTCTGCACTGTCTGACCAGTTCTGCTGGTAGTCCTCAAACTAGAGAGAAGAGCAGCCTAAATATTCAGATTGATTGAGCTCCTTCAAGTTTTAACTTAATTCTTATCTCAAGACGCAGCTATTGCAGGTAAGAAGGTACTGGCACCAAATCTGAAGCCATCACAAAATCTCATTGAGGGAATAGGTGTTCTAAAATGATTCATAAAGAAAGGGCAGGTTCTTTGGCCTACGTCAAACAAAGAAGGACCAACAAAACCTAAAAAACACCCAAAATCTCCTAATAAAGCCCCAAACAATAAACTCCAAAAGCACCACAAGAAATGATCATGCCAAAAGCACTCCTTCTCTCAGCAATTCAAACAATCCATAGCTCACAGTGCTATAAGACAAATGCAATGAGGACACACAAAGAACTGTAAGTGGAAAGATAAAGGATTTTTTGACTGAACCTAGCAATGAATTCAAGATTAGATTTATGAATACATGGATTCATAATATACATCTCAAACAGGCTTCAAATGAGGATAATCATCTAAAAATTGTGAAGAAAAGCACTGTAAGCTTGTCTTTAAAAGTGGACTCTTACCTACACATGAATTTCCTACTTTTGCAACTTAATCAGACCTTGCAATTCTTCTTCTTAAGCATGTGTTTAGGAATTTACTGCCATCTACTAAATTGTTGACTAGCTTCCCTTTTTATACAACTGTTAGACCAAGAAAATCTGGTTGATTCCTTTTGACAACAAACTCAGTATTGTGAGAAACAATTGTGTTCTAACTGGCCTGCAAAAGAAGGCTCCAGAACGTCAACTTACCTTTATAGTAAGTACTGTCTTCCATGTATCTGGATAAACCAAAGTCACCTAATTTCACACAGTCAGTGGCAGATACCAGCACATTTCTAGCAGCAATATCCCTGTCAAACAGAGGAGACATTATTTCTAGTCATTTAAAAACATCAAGTGGTGAAATATCATTTTAAATATTAAAACACAGAAGTATCAAACTTCTTTGAGAGAAGCTTATTATTTTTCTAGTCATGGTTTGGGTGCACGTGTACAGACAAAGACAATGACATATTTATCTACTGATCCTGAGAAGCCTGCAGAAATGCTGCAGTACATTTGTCCATATAAATAGTAACTATAACCATCAATGTCAACATCAGAGGAAAAAGTTCTTCTTCACCTATGTAAGTATCAGAGGAGAACAAGTTTTGGCAATTAGAACTGATGGACAGAAGAAAATTTGCCTCCTGACCCTGCAAAGGTAAATACTTGGTTCAAGATGTCAGTGCAGTAAGAGGCTCCCTAGTAAGAAGCTCAGTTTGCAGCGATGCCACAGGGATTATGAAAAGACAGGCATTTTCCTTGTGTGGTTTCCCAGGTGAGACAACCTGCCTTGAATGTGTCTGCTGATTGTGGATTTCAGCAGGCTTGACCAAGTCTTGGCAGATCTAGCTCTGCGCAGTGAAGGAAGCACAGCCAGCTGAGCAGTGGTACTCCCTCCCATTTCAGTATGGTATGAACAAGTTGTATTTTGGAAATTTATTGCTAGAATTAAAATAAACAGCTTAGGTTGGAAAAGATCTTTAAGATCATTGAGTCCAACTGTTAACCTGGCACCGCCAGGTCCACCATGAAACCACATCCCTCAGCACCACACCTACACATCTTTTTACTACCTCAAGGGATGATGGCTCCACCACTGCCCTGGGCAGTCTGTTCCAACACTCCCACCCAACTTGGTGTCATCTGCAAACTGACTGAGGGTGCACTCGATCCCCTCATCCAGATCATTGATAAAGACATCAAACAGAACTGGCTCCAATTCTGAGCCCTGGGGAACACCACTTGTGACTGGCCACCAACTGGATTTAACTCCATTCACCACCACTTTTTGGGTCCAGCCACCCAGCCAGTTTTTTACCCAGTGAAGAGTACACCCATGAGAAGCCAGCTGAAATCCAAGTATCTATAATAACCTAAGGGTCTGTTATTTACAGTGTTTTAATATACTTATCTGAGTGTGTATGTATATATCTAATACATATGTGTTTGTATGCACAATATATACAACACACCTACAGAATGTGGATGTAAGTATTTAAACACAAATAAAATGCTCAAGTTCAAAACGAAATGGTGCATGATAACTGGAGTGCTGTGAACTTTTAACTGCATAGAGCAAGAGGCTAAAGCCAGTCTCTTCTCCCTAGAAAGCTCATGTTCATATTCAAGGGAATAAAATTCCTAGAAGGAAATTCAGGTTCAATTTTTAGTGAAGCAAGTTCTTGTATTTAACAAGTATTTTGTTCTCCCTGCTTTTCTGTATTGGGAAGATTACAGTTGACTCACAAAGCAACAAGTCAGCTCAAATCTCCTCTGACTCAAACCCAACCCCATCTCTGAGTCACTGCAGCAGTGGGCCAGCAGGTGTCACCCTTGAAAAGGGTGTGATTTCGGAGGCAGCATCTGAAAGAACGACATTCTACCCCATGGAGACTGCCACACAACAGGTTAACTGGATTTTAGGAGCTTCCAAGTATTGCTGCTTCATATTCGGCGTAAGTCAAGGAAAAGAAATACAACAGGAAGGCTTCGAAGAATCTTAACTACATGTTGTTAAGTGTTTGTCTTCACTTGAACAGTCTATCTGATAGCCAGGATGCTGCCAGTCAGAAATCCTGTATCTTGGACACCATGCATTCCCTAGAATTCCAAGCAGTTACATACAAAACCACACATGTACAAATATACAAGTATAAAATCTTACCTATGTACAAATCTTTTGCTCTCTAAGTAGGCAAGTGCTGTGCTAAGCTGGTAAGCGTAGAGTATCAGAGAGGCCAGATCCAAGCTGTATTTTCTCACTTGCAAAAACGATCTCAACTTTTTGCACAAAGAAGGAAAAACCAGAAAGGAGTTAGGACAAAAACCCCCATGAACTTGACCAAGGCATATCTCAAATTGCAAAGTTGACACGAGTATCAATGGCAATGCCTTCCCTTCAGACTGGATGAGAAAAGAAAATCCCTTGGCATGAAGAAATTTGACTCTGGGTTAAATTCAAGCAGTTTCTTCTCTGTGAAAACTGTCAGCCAAACCAAACAACAACAAAATCATTGTGCAGTACTTTCAGGCTCCTTTCGAAGAGCAAATGCTGCTGCTGCTCTTCCAGAGTAAAGCA